GAGCTTGCTTAAGTGACCTAAATATTGCTTCATTGGCCTTATTGGCTTGGTTGGGAGGTTGGTAGCAGACACCTATGGTAAGACCCCCCTTGGAAATGGCCCTTCTGATCTTGACCCAGAAGCATTCAAGAGGGCTTCTGCAATCGCCATAGTTGACTCTATACATTCAAGGTTCTCCTCAACATAGAGTGTAACTCCTCCTCCTCTTCTTCCCTATGTGTCTTAACAAAACAACCTAGAGCCATCCATTGTGATACTCCAGTCATGTGAGTTGTCCCACGATGCTTCAATTATTCCTATGATATCATAACTTTCTGACCGGGCACAGAGCTCCAGTTCCTCCTCTTTATTCCTCGGGCTGTGTGTATTGGTACACTTGCAGTTGAGCTGGTTGGTCTTCTGGCGCTCATCTTGGGAGACAACTAAGGAACATTTGTTGCTGCTCTGGTTGGCCTTGCTTATTCCCCAGTTGGTTGCAGTGGTGTGAGCATTGCCACTTTGGACCCTGCCCCTGAGTCCTTCAGTTTAAAGCCCACCTCACCAAGTTGGTGAGCCTGCTGCCAAAGATTGCCTTGCCTTTTCTAGACAGGTGGATCCCATCCCTCCCTAATAGGCTACAGTCATCAAAGAATGTCCATCTGTCATAAAGGCCAAAACCCTCAGGACAGCACCAGCCATGAAGGCCTAAGTTGATTTGCATTATATGTCTATTCCTGGCTGCACTCTGTCCTCTAACAGGTAAAATGGAAGAAAAGATAACGTGGGCACAGATACCGTTACTTGCACCCCCAGGGCTTTTGTTAAGGAATATTAACAAAGTGGTCTGTGACCAGATAAGACTTTAGCCTAGTCATTTAGCATTTAGAGTTAACTATAATTGAATTGTGGTGTTCGCACAATCAAGAACTTACATGATCATTTTGCTGAAGCTACAGACCACAAGCTGTGAATTTTCACCTAGATATTTTGAACTTTTACCCAGTTAAGTAAAAGTTGTTTTCCAATTTAAAACATCTTATAAAGCATGAGTTCTTCTCCCACTGTTAACAGGAAGACAACACAAACTGGATCCAAATGCAGGTTTCAAGAGCTACCTCAGGATTTCAATGGATGTCAGGTACTTAAAAGACAAAATTAATTTAAAAAAACCCAACCTTTCTCACTGGCCTTTCTGCATGAACTGCAAACCACTGCACCCTCTCGATCCCTATTTGCAGAGCTCCTGGTTGCCAGTGCTCCCTAAGGCTGTTTAAATCTCCCGTGGTTGCTTCTGGACTCTGCTGTTCCTCAGGTTTCCCAGGCTCCAGGAACCCTGCTGCTCACCTCGATCCAGCACTCAGCCACAGGATTCACCATCACTGCAGCTGCACGCCTCGCCGAATTTCCTTAGTATTCAAGAGCAGATAATTTATACTTCTCCCCAGCATAAAACTATTGAACAATTACAATTATTAATGCAAAAATAAATTGTGTAATTGTAAATCTAGCCTGTAACCAAAAACAATAATAAGTACAACATCATCTCTTTATTTGACCGTTAACAAATTGTAGCCTGAGGCCTCAACTAACAGCTCAATCAACTCAAAACTGTTTATTTAAGAAAAGCTGTTTTTCTTCCTGGTTCCTATAGACCTATTAACAGCACCCAGCTCAAGAGCATGTATCAGCCTTTGCAGATTGGCAGGCTGTTACAGGTTTACAGACAGCAAACAAGCTTTCCCAGAAATTGCATCTTCTGGCAATTCATAAGGGTCTTGTGCAAGTGATGAGACAACGATTTGACTCTGTTTAAATACACATGTGTGTTACTGAAGGGAGTTTCTAACTGCGCAAATGTACAGGTTGCTTTGCCAGTCTTGTAGACAGCAATATCCTATTTCACTATTTTAAGAAACTTCATATACATTCACACATAAAATGTG